TGTACCGTATTTCCCGATTTCCTTTCATAACCATACTCACATCGTCAAGGTCACGGTCATATACCTGATTTTTCTGCTATGACAGTAGAGTTTAATATTACAAGGCCTTTTCAGGAACAAGTATGTATATAATAACAAATTCAGGATCATGTAACATGAAATTTACATGTAAACCTGTGTTGTATTTTTAATCAATAATGTACCAGGCTGTGGACTTGTAGCACAGCGTCTAATAACAAACATCTATATCTTTTCTGCGTTAGAATATACCTGTACTGTAAAGTCATCAAGTTCCAAGCGGGATTTCTTTTCAATGTTTTCGTTAATATTGTTAATATAATAATTTATGTATTCTCGGTTGTGAAAATAAGTATGTATCCGCGACGTCAAATGTCCACGAAATAGTAACTCTGAAAAAAAACCCCACGAAAATTACCTGAATGTAGTGCGAAAAATGTGTAAGATATGCATGGACCGGATTTTGTATACAGCAGCACCTGTCATGCCATATTTGGTGGGGTGAATTATGCCCTCAAGTGCTTTAAAATCGCATGTTGCAGAGTACCGCACTTTCATACGGCGTTAGATTGGGACCATACTAACAAAATGAATTAGATAAGAGAATATGACTACGTATACAAGTATTGTGAAGCGGACACCAAAAGACGTAGATCAAACCGGAACAAGCACACCGGCAGTACATAGACGTACCAATCAACGGATAGAGTAACCTGAAACATACGGGCAATCACATCGCGCACCGGATGTTACTGAAGGTTAAACGTGTCAAAAATCTTCGCGAAACGGATGTAGTGCGATAAATCATCTGTTATGGTAAAGCTCGTGAACCGGACATAATAGACAGAACTCGTATCATACAGGCATCACAAATGTAACAAACTCTAAGCGAACCGGATATAGTGGACATCAGCACATGGGATACCCGCAACTCGAACGGTTTAACCTGTTGTAATATAAAACAGCATATGACATACGACTATAACAAACTCCATAAAGTAAATATCGTATATGATATGTGATATTCGCATCGTAAACTGGTTGTAATGAACAGCAACTTTCGTGAACCGGATGTAACATATAATACCACATTATATACTTGTAAAACACGACCCTTCTGCTATATATACTTGCAGCGACATATGACATGGATTTTAGGAACTTGACGAAGAAGACATCAGATATACTCGCATTGCGAACTGGATGTGGTATACGCCAACACATTACACTGGTATATAAGCAAAAATATGTGTATATTATACAGGAACTACATGATGTCAAGCGGAATGAAGATTACAGGTCTCCTCGAAAGCCACTGTCCTTAAACAGGAACATTGTATATAATTCAGAGTAATTGTGGATTGCGCTATTTGGAGCTATTTCTCTTAAGATATCGCAAATCACCGTTAAAGCCTGTGGTAACAGATGTATCAAGACACACATAACATGTCAAATATCGATTCAAAATAAATTTTTTAAACGAAAAAAAAAAAAAAAACATTTATCACGTTTAATAGCGTCAGATGCTTGACTACGAATCGACAGAACAACTGAACCGTGCGCGAAGATTCAGAATACAATATGTACACATATACACCAGTCATTATCTGTTATATATTCACACCTATCCCAATCATTGGCTGTGTATACATACAGATTAGAAACAACAGCTGTTTGGCCTTGATAGCACTGGTGTTATACTGGTCACGTGACATACATGTATATGTCCAAACTAACGAGGAATATTAAATAAAATAATAGCAATAAATTGTCAAAAAATCCAGGATGTAAAATGTAATTATGATTAATAGATAAAAATTAAATTTGATAGAAAATTTTGCTTTAAAAGTTTTGAAGATTTGTCATTTAATCACCTATATTTGAACTGTGATCAGATTACTAATTATCAGTGAAGCCTGATTTAAACAATAACGTTAAGAACGTCGTGATCAGGTTACGAGAACCTAACTCTGGCATGGCACAAATGCATAGGTGTACCAGATCATCGAGGAAACAGATGAAACGGGCACCGGTTTATCAGACCAGTTCGGGACCAGTTCATACACGAAACAAGACCTGAAAAATTACCCTCATCATAGGAAGCTGACAATACTGATCGGGAAAACCGCATGCTTGTAGGGCAAATAGAGTTCACTCAATACATCTTTGCATTTTTACACTGCTAACTAAAAGTCTTGAAATCAATAAATGGATACATGGACCTAATAGAGTCTAACCAGAGACAAGATCCTCCCCCATCTCTCTCCCCCTCCTCCCGCCCACTCCCCCTCATCTTTGCCGTCACATCACACCATTTATATATACCCACACATTTACAGCCAAACGTGTTCAGGATCCACAATCACGTCGAAAATCGATATACAGCACTTTCATCTAAATATACATGTACATAACCGCACCAGTATCTAATTGGGAATGGCCGCGTAGAGGGCACACCATGTAGTGATCACCACTTGTTAATGGTTTTCCTCAAAGTACACTAGATATTTTGAAACCTTTGCATGATAAGGGATCCCCCATGTGAAAATCTCACTTGCAGGTTACAGGACCCTGTTTTGTTACTTTTCAAAATATCATCAAAATCAATTTGACGTTTTGAAAGAAAAAAAAATGAAATTTTGATAAGTAAAAGACATGAATATATCATTGAATGAATAAATATGTTTGCTTTGTAATTTTCTTATAATATTGAACGTTAGCTAGTAAATTCCTTATCCTATGAGAGTATTAGATGTGTTGGAGCTATCAGATACACTCAATCTCACAGGCAATAAAAATTACTGGAAAATAGGACAATAAAATGCAGATAATGAAAACCCGGTTAATAAGAGATACTGGAGTCAATGTTAAATACTCAGAAAACAATCTCCCATCTCTAAAGAAATCTCAACATAGTTATCGTTAATTAGATAGTAAATGTATGGACAATATTTTGTCGTTAGGCTGAATGACGGGTTGTTAATTAAGTGGACATTGGTATGTCTTTAGGCTGAACAACGGGTTGTCAATGGGGTGGGCAATGGTTTGTTGTTAGGCTGAATGACGGGTTGTCTATGGGGTGGACAATAGTTTGTCGTTAGGCTGAATGACGGGTTGTTAATTAAGTGGACATTGGTATGTCTTTAGGCTGAACAACGGGTTGTCAATGGGGTGGACATTGGTTTGTCGTTAGGCTGAATGACGGGTTGTCAATGGGTTGGACAATGGTTTGTCGTTAGGCTGAACAACGGATTATCAATGGGGTAGACAAAAGGTTGTCAGTGGGCTGAACAATCGGTTGTCAGTTCGTCAATGGGGTAACCATTGGTCTGAACAATGGGAAGATAATACGCTAGCAGTGCGGAGATAATTGACTGCCAATTTAAGGTCTAAATGAACGATACATGCAGTGTAGTAAGAATATTACATTTCAAGTACCGAGAAACATCAGAAAAAAGCGATCTTTTCGGACGTCCTTGTATTTCAATAATGAAGCTCCAATAGGTCATGACTCCGAATGGAGGGCAGTTTCTAAGGATATGTTAATGTGAAAACTCGGGAGTAAGGCGGCGTTATGGACATTCTTGGTCGTATTACGCTGGTGGGAAGTAAAAACCATTGAAACTATCTAGGGAAATCAAACAAGAATGATATATTTCAAAGAATGAATATTAAATAGAGGACAACTAATCTGAGGAAAAGTAGAACAAATGGGAATCATTTTCAACGGATTATAAAATGAAAGGCAGAAATTCCGGGCAAAAGGAAAAGTCGGGATTGCGAGCAATAACAAAAAGTCAGGATGAGGACCCAAACAACTTAATCTTGACGACAAGTTTTCTGAGAAAATTATACAGATGTGAACTACGCATATTGAGCTGTCAGTAGTATTCTCAAATGGATTTGGTGGCCTTAATGTCATTTTCCCACAGACGACACGTTTGGAAAGATGTGCTTTACTTTAACCGTAATATGCTAGCTCATCATCGGATACGTTACTGGTGTTATATTGTTCATCAGGATACTCATCTTACCTACAGAATCTTAATATTATAGACATACACCGTTAACTTTGATCATTTTCTTATGATAAAAGTAGCGTTTATCTTGATAATCATTTTTGAAAGTATATTTTACCATGGTAAATTAGAAGAAAATTGTAGTTTTAATTTTGTATTTTCCTCCATACACAATATTTGTTTTAGTGACTAAAAATAATTTGAGTATGTCTTTTTGTGAAATTCGAATAAACTTGTATATAAACAGTGCATTTAATTGGGCGTTGATTAAGTGTCGATATTTCCAATATAAACCCCAGAATTGTAAAAATAGGCAATAATTAAATCAGTTTGTGTTAAAATTGTAAGAAAGATCAGTTGTCAGTACCATATCCTTTCCAACACCAATAAACCACAATGCTATACCCACACAATGACTGACATGATTCTGGGATCTAGAATTAGTGCTTAGACAACATAGGCGAGTGTTTGGCTTGCCTCTCTGTGTTAAACAGAAATCGATGAAACGCGAGTTTGCAATCACAGCACGTAGGGACTGTATTGTCAGCTATCCCTCCTGTATCCCCTCCTGCTCCAGAATCATGAACATAGGAAAAATCCCTGATCTACTGTCGTCCAGTCGTTGTTGAAAATCTGACGGACAGCCGTACTATTACTTAATAATATTTTCCATACGTTGTCATATAACTAGAGTTTTCATTTGTGCAACCCTAGTGTCAGCTTAACACGTTAATATATAGGCTAGGAAAAATACATTTGTATATTTTTTTCATTATCTTAGAGCAAAGTAAGCAGTAGTGATAAATCTTAAGGAAGTTCGCTGAGAAGTTATGGAGATCCGGTCGGAAGTACCACAAACCTCTCAACAGCGAGAACATCTATACACACTGTAGCAGACGGCTAGCGTTCGCTAAACATCACATACACAAACAGATGAATGAAAATTAGAATATGAAAGATTACCTTATAAACATTTCCACTCCCGTCGATTCCATACACCGTTTGATGCCCTTCCAAGACTTTTTAAGCTTGAATACTTGTCTAGGGTCCAGTGGCAATCGTGGATCCGTGGGAGCTGGCGGAGCAGGCTCCGGTAACTTATCCGCCATGGCCTCCTCTGCCTCTGTTAGTGACCTCGTATTGGTTTCAGGCGCAGACTGCTTACATCCCATAATTGTAATATTTCTATGACTCCACGTGCAGCGTGACGTAGTCGTTAACGATTATCGCGGTAAAATCGATAACGTGTGGATTACATATCTTTACTTAATTTTTCATACTTAAGATGATCATGACGAGGTAGAGGTAGAGGTAACATGTCTGCGGTGAAGATGGTTGAAGGTGTAAAACGATGAATTTTTCCACTAGGTAATGAGGCAGGTAGACCGCAGGTCGTTACTTTTCACTACCGCGACATTCTGGAAAGCAAAACAAACAAGCTTATTTAAAGAGAAGCTCTGTTTCATTACAATCAATATGCAAGGATTATATACTTTATTGGATAAGCCATTGAATTAATAGGGTAGCTTTAGAGTCTGTTTGCTCTATTCAAATATTGAATATCAATGCACTATGTTTGATATACAAAAATGTGTTATAAAACAAAATGTCATATCACGTTCAGTGTTGAAAGTGAAAGCCATCGGAGAAAAGTATTGTGCGTGAAGTTTTAGATGCAAGGGTATCGAAACTACTTTTGAAAATATAGAATTCTAATAGAGAATTCTAAATAGACAACGAAGGATCATTAGCACAATCTGTAATATTGATTCTGTGATTATGTTTATATAATTACCATGTCTCTCAATTAAATGATAAATTAAGTCTCTATCAACAAATCTTGTGTAATCATTACATAACACATAACTCGTTGTATTCGTGATCGTGTTGAAATAAAATTCACGTGACACCGTTTTTGTTGTTTGTACATACGATATCGTGGTCTTTCAGTACAACAGAAAATCAAAATGTGTTTGATTATACATGTACACGTGTCTATGATAAATGAAATGACTATGATCCAGCATGCTTTATCTTTTGTTTTGTAGGTGCTGAACTTAAGCCAGGTAATCTGGAGGACAATTGATTTGTTTCTTGTTTGTTGCACGTTTTTGGTAGGATCTTTTCACAGTAATTTGCAGATTCACGTACCTCACTGTATAACAAAGGAAAGGTGCATCCCATACAGACCATACAGGTAAAGTATTTTTCTAAAGAACACACAACCGTTATCTCTCTGAGAAACACAAACCACCATGAGCAAGTAGTGTCGGACCAAACATCTTACATCTTTACCTGATGCCACAATGGCCAATGTACTACTTATTGAGCTATGTCCCCCACACGAAGATATACGCCAGATGTTGGGACAAAAATGGAAAAAAATCCCAAAATTTGCCACATGAATGCAGAGGAAAAGTTTCAGTTTCGACAATTTCCCATGAACAGAAGGCAAAGAACAGAAACCATGTATTTTGTAGGCTTCATGTCAGCTACCTTTGATAAAGATAAACAACAGAGCTCGCCTTCCTTTCACTTAAATTGAACCCAACATACAAAATTATAAAACGAAAAAATATATTTGCCGTCTAGACCGTAGTATAAATATCAGTCGGCGTTTAATTTTTTTAAGACACGAAAATGAATATACAAAAGATAAACATAATGTGCAGACAAATGTAATGATTGCCTTGTGATCGATAAAACACTTTAACAACTAGGAAGTAAAATCCCCTTCCTGCTCAGGAAAGAATCGGATTTTCCGGAAACCTGTTTTCTCAGGCAAGGGAAAGTTCAGATTAACTACTTTCCCACTACAAACTATCCCCAGGGATATCATTGGAATATATGTTAAGTATTCCTGTTAAAGTATGGACCCACGTAAATTTTCCATGAAAAAAAAAAAAAACAATAAAGAAAAAAATAATTTGGTACGGAATGACGGCTAGAAATGACCACGAGCTCGCTATGCAGCGACACGTAATAGCACAAATCACGTGCTCACGCGCTACTCTATCTAAACGGCACGAACAAGACAAATTATTCCTGTTATACTAGCGAAACGCAGGAATACTTTATTTCTGTCCCGAACAAGAAAATAATCGACCGTTAATCATATTTCACAGGTTATTGATAATAAACAGCAGACTATTCCATATAAAAATTGATTAAGCCAATATTGAAATTTATATTTATTCAAATATTAAGTGTCTTCAGTTTTTTTATTTTTCTAAACAAAATTTATTACTGTTGATCGTGAAATAATTGAGTGCCACACCAATCAGTCTATAAACTAATCCAAATATTAAACTATGTGACGTTTCAGCCATATCAACTAGATGAAAACAAACACATAATTTTATTAATGCATAATGCATAGTGCAAATATGAATTATTCATAAGTTGTCGGCGGTCTTAATAAACGACCGTCTGTGATGCTACACGAAATGTAAAATGTGGTTATTCGTTGGGATAATGAGAAATCCTCATTACCAAATCTCGAATGTCTTTGTCATCTTACGATTCGGACGAAAACTAAATTTTTATTGTAAATGCAAATAAATGTTGCCCTTTATATACCATTTGTGAAAGAGATGAACTCTTTGTTAATTCCCAACTGACAAAACCGTCGGTTTCATCGATCGACATCTCTACCACGGTAATACTATGTCTGGGCACTGTGTTTGTCTCAGACATCTATATCATTAGTAGTACTAAATCATTTTTTATGTTTATCCTGAATAAACTTATCGACATTCCTGTTGTTCACTGGTTTACTTTTATTTATATCATCATTTACCGATCCTTATGATGTTTCACCCACCACACTCTTGTCACTGGACTGGACGTTCACCCAATAAAGTTATTTTCAGGATCAGGCCACCCACACACAAAATCGAAAGTCGTAATAGTCGTATCTAACATTTCGCGGAGGCAAATTTCTTAATCAGTTTACATCAACCTGTCTGACTTGTGTATATTCTGATCATTAAAAAAAGGAAAAGAAAAAAGTTGGAGACGTATACTCTATTATGAGCCCCGAATAACCCCATCCTCCATACTACCAAAACACGCCTACCCACACACGTGCAACACACACTTGAACAGTTAACCCTACTATCACTTCGTATGTGTGGGTATATGCTTTTATTTAGTTATTTAGTAGAGTACTTGTATTATTATGGCAATGATAATGTAGAGTATGATGAGTTTCCTGTTATTTTATTAGATAATTTCTGCTTATCAATGTTGTTGGTCCCCATATAAAACCCATCACAAAGTACAGAGTGTTTCCATATAAAAAAAGTTTGAATATTTGTGCTATATACTCAATTTACTCTCTATTTTGACTTCTCCATACACAAATGTTTAATCAAAATATGATGGGCCATCACCACCGTGTGTGAAAGAAGTCTTTAGGGCTTTAAGACTTCTTTCACACAAGGTCAGTATCAGTAACTGTCCTCAAAACTCTTTTGATGTTTTGATGCGAATTGTGGCTAGTTATATGGCGTATGGTGTAAATACATCTAAACGAACAGTGTTACGTATCATTATTTCACACGTGCTGTCATCTGTATGATACCACTGCATCAATGTTCACAGAAACAATGTAAGTTATTTAACATTTGTCCAATTTCTTTTGAAGTATTTTCGAATAGAATATGTGAAACTTTGCTGTTTTATTTCACTCAAAACGAAATTTCCCCAAAATTTACATCTAAAAATTCTCCTTAAAGAAAAAGAAGATTCATATCTATTGATCTTTTGAGTGCCTGCTAACCAAATTTAATGCATTTGCATACTATGTAAACTAATAACGTTTGAAGAGGTAATCACTATTGTTATCGATTTCTGAATCTTGCCGATTCCAAATATGCTTTCTACAAGGAGTGTAAACAAATGATAATCGCTTGTCTGAATCATCTAACGAATGGATAAAACAAACCATGCTGCATTGATTTCATTTTCAAGGTGTGTTTATCAACTCCATTCGGTACATGATTTTCAACATCTGAAATCAGAGATAAACAAGTCTGCATTACTTGATTTTGAGGTAAACGACTCTCCTGATGATTAACATTGACAGTACAAATATATACGTGTCTCTGTCTGTGCATAATTATTACATGCGTGCAAAAGTACCAGGTTGTTTGAAAGCCACTGGAACTAGCAAATTATGCTTCGATATTGCATATCTTTCACATTACCAGTTGATGATGAAGATGCAGATCTTTCTTGTTTATACTGGATCCTAAAACATCAATACAATCTAATTAAACAACGATTTAATCGCTGGTTTGGCTATATGCTCAATTAATCTTTTATCCAAACGTTTTTACTTTCATTTTAAGTACAATCATATCAAGATTATAGGCTTATTGTACATTGGATATTTCAGACATGAAATTATTAGATTTGGATTTGAAGAAAACGCAATGTATTTTTTATCAATCTAGAACATACATCCATGAAAACCGTGTCTGTTGCTGCACGTCGCCACGCCCCAATCCAAAGAAAATCCTATCTAAAACAACATTAATACGTAAAACTGTTCGTTTATATGTATTTAAATAATATGCTATATAATTGGCAACAATTTGCATCACAACATCAAACTGATACTGATCTTTAGGGCCATCACATTTTAAGAGGGCTTTCTATATTCTCTATATTGCACATTGGAGTGATGTACATGAAATTGAAGCGATTTACGAGAAATTGGAGTGATAACACGAAAGAAGTATCAAATCAAGACAAAGTAACTTCAGGATGAAATCGCAAAAAATATCAAATATCTGGTATATAGGATATCTGTTGAGTTTGGTGACAATATCTACATTTAGACTTTTGGCACACCTGTGAGAACTAACTTTGTATATCTCTGAACTGATGTTGCTACGTTTTGTTATAAGGCGTAACGTAGTTGATATAAAACATTTGCTTAGTCTTTAAATTTCACATTGTCCTCTGGTAATACCACCTAGAACCATTTATCTTGATATCACAAAATAATGAAAAAGGATTGTCTTTACATATCTAGTATGCCTGCCTCCCACGCCCAAACTGTGTACATGCCACAGATGACTCGATATTCTAAAGTTTGGGTTGAATATGGCGATTCCCTTGGTAAGTGTTAGCAGCTAATGAAAAAACGAAACTTGATTTCTAG